TGAGAACTTCGTACGTAAGTACATCAGTTCATGTCGCCATACCACATCAGCACAGAGATGTAATCGTCAATTCAAATCCAATAGTAGAAGAGGTAGTAAGGGTATTAGAAGTAATCGGAGAGGTTAGGATGAGAAGATATTATTCAAGAAGCAGGATTAAATGAGAAAAGTTTAGAAAGTAAAAACTAGAGGGGTTGAACAATCCAGAAGATTAGGATTTGAGAGAACACAAAGCATAAATGCACCGGCGCCATTGCAAACGATTTTGAGCCATGTCATTCATGGTCTCTAACCATCGATTATTATCAGCTCGCGGACCCCAACCAGGTAGTCGACAACTACCGACATGGCTAAGACCACTTGTCAATGACTTCATGGATTTCTGCCATGTTTTGGTTTGGCCTTCAACTAACTCCTTTTGTATAGGTTGTAAGCAACCAACGAAAATCTTGTTAAATCAACTAAATTCCTATTATTTTACTTTAAAAAAAGGGAACAAAAACTTACATAAATGATGTAGGAAAGTAACCTAATTTGTGCCTAACATGTTTGACCTACGAAGAACTAATTTGAAGACTAGAACTCCATTATTTACATCATTTTGGCGAAAAACGGGTACGGGTACAGGGAAAACCGCATCCCGAACAATGCAGGTCACCAGCCACTGATATATCAGAGAGTTTAGCTTTTTGAAGTTAAGAGAGTTCTCTGTGGAACTCATCTTTTATCTCGTCTGAACTGCAGTCAATAGGACCGTAGGCAGATACGACGAAGAGGCAACGGCGTGTCCGTGTCCTTCCGAGTCCGTACCGCCCCGTTTAGTCGAACAGCGCATATGCGACTGTCCACCGGGATCCAGTCTAAGAGAGCTAGTTCTGCCCTAGCACTTAATATTATAACCTACGCCAGCGAGGCCCCGGGAATCAGTATCACGGCTTCCAGAAACACGAGGCGTAAACCATGATATTTCTCTATCTGCACAAGGCGAAATCAAATGATTTTCTTCGGATCTTGTATGCGCGTTTTAGGACGCAACATACATCGATCGCACGGGATTCCAGAGTTCTAGCTAATGAAACCTGTTGCCCTATTTGGCACCAGGTTCGAACATTAAAAGCTTTGTGTAATTTAGAGCGGGGTTTCAGGAGACCAGGAATAACGTTTCGTCAGACCGAACCGTTTGCTTCAGTGTCGTGAGATGATAAGCGATCGAAACGGTTGGTCGAGGAGATAAGAGAGTTACTAAGAGGTGTAGAAAGGAATCGATTGTGACCGATTCGGTGTCGTGTTCTTTTATGGGTATGCGGGCGGATGTTACTTCCCGGCTGCCCATACTGTGGAAGGGTCCTGGTTGTCAGAAGGGTATCGACCTCGTGACTTCCAAGGGAACTCGGCTTTCATCATGAGACGTCATAACTCTTTTAAATGGAAAAATTCTAGCTCCCAGAGCAGAGTTTAAATTGATTGAATTATTTTTTCTTATTAGCTTTTTTTGGAGAGTTAGTTTCCTACGGGGTGGGGTCGCCAACCCCAAGCTCAACCTCCTCCTTTCTCCGGGCCTGGGACCGTCAGTATAACCGGAGGGTCTACAGGCGAATTGTTGGGTTGGAAACATACTAAGTGAAACAAATCAAGTTATGCTAAAAACAAAAAAAAAAATTACGAACTCACCACCAAGATAAATGTAATATCGTTTCTTTGAATATAATGCTGCTAAAGTGAATGAAACGAAAATCAACGCGGTTCCCAAAAGGGCAGTTGGAATAGTATCAGGACTGACAACCGACAAAACTTGTAGAAGTGGACCGAAACCAATACCTAGAATAAATAGAACAGGTAATTAGCACTAACATTTAAGGAAGAACTCGTTATATGCAGTTAACTGTCAAAAATTATAGTTCATTTAGGGCATGAATTTGGTTAATGTGATTCCACTTTGATACAATACTGGTTAGAAGGTTTGTTCTGTACAACTTTGCTATCCTAAGAAAAATACAAGCAACTTCTGTTGGGGGGGGGAGTGGTTGTGAAGATGCCCAGTAGGTTTATGGTTGATTACTACCGGACAAGTCCATCAATAGGATGGAACAGCTGATCAGTGATTTTTAGTTCTGATCAGCTTTCAGACTAATATCAGTTTGTGAAGTAAACTGTTGAACGGTTTCATTGGGGATGATAAGTTTGAAATTAAAAACATGATGCTACGTGGAATGAATGACATTGACATGACGATAAACAGAAGTGTTACTTAATAACGTTATGTGGACTGATTAAATATGTATTTTTTTAACGGCAGACACGTAGAATGACTACTTGAATCATAGGTGATGAAATGACTTTTTGCAGTTCGCGTAACACCTCAAGAAACAGAATGACAACTAAGAACCAATAAAAAATTAACAGCATCATCTATTTGCATTTGAAGTCCTTACAAGTAGATGATTATATTATTTTATCCATGTTTGTTGTATATATTTTCAAGTTACAGAATTCTCCCCATGGGAAAATTCAACTCATAATACTATTCATCACATTACAGAGTGAAAAAAAAAACATCAGTTTTTCCGAGCAAACAGTCACTTAAAACAAAAAAAATTCTCACCTGTAGAAAAACAGAACAAGAAGAAAGCACCAAGTCTAGAATGAAGAGTTTCTCTTGAATGTTGTGTGAAATAGATAAACAATGAACTTCCAAGGGATAGAATGAATGACAAGACCATTAGAGAGGTTACCATAGACTAAAAAAATAGAATGAGAAAACAATCATTGTATATGTTGTTATAAAATAATTATAAAAAACTTATAATGAGTTATCTGTGAAAATAAGTAAAAAGCAAAACACAGACATGAATTTAACTTTTACACTCTTACTTAAGACAGGCTTTGTTTGAAGTGTCGATTCTAAGCTAGAAAGAAGTCTGCAACTGCCCGTCAGAACGGACAATTTCAACAGCCAATCGACATCATGTCCTGACAAAGCTATTTATTACTTTTATTTTAAATATTTACTTATATACAAGCCATTATTGTGAATCACATAAGTAATAGTTAAGCATGTGCACTATATATGATCCAATGTCAAAGAGATGAAGATTCGAAGCACAAAATCTATTACAAACTCTCAGGGTAACTTCTTACTATGTGATAAATAATATCGTGTGAACAACCTTACAGTGATAACAATCACACAAAAGTTGCAACTTGAATCTGTTTTCTGTTCCATTAACATTAATATAGCACAAACATGCCAATGAGCACATTTCTGAGCTGTGAGAAGTGCCACTACTTTTAGTTTGAAGACTTTGGTTAAGCAAAGATGATATTAGATGCATTTTATGATAGATTGTGAACAAAATTCGTTCATTAAACATTTTTATTTTATCACACAACTAGTAGAAGTACATTTTACATTTATTTTTTAGTTATTCTCTTCTTTTTGAACACTGATCATGATTATCGTTTAGATTCAAACTAGACAGTCTAAAGTGACGAATGCGGTTCAATTCATATTCTATGTACCGATGTCGTGTCGTATGATGTGCACCTCGACTTTACAAACTACTCATAATTCAGTCAACACTGTGTAAATAAAGGTAAACGGTAATGAACCGCGTGTAACAAGCCCAAGGCACTTCGATGAAACCTCACCAACTTCATTGGTTTGGCGTGTATATACATGGTAAACTAAGCGATGTCAGTGCATACTAGTTAAGACGTTCAGCTATCGGCTAATAAGTTGCAGGTCCGAGTCTCACTATTTTGAACAGCCGAGTGCACGAAACTGTACTTCATGATCCCACCGCAAGTGGCAAGTCCCTATGAGACTTATAGTCAGATACTAGTAAACTACGGATATTCGCAGTTATAAAGACAGATTAAACTGCTGAATAACTTTCGTGTTCTTTAGTTGACTGACCGAACGAAACGCAGAATCCAGAACAGGCATACACCACTGATCGTCCCAATCTAGAAGAAAGGACAAGTCTTCTAGTGACAAACACAGGGGAATAAGTCTAACTAATATAGTTTCTAAATTGTTAGCCTTGATTATACTTAGAGGTCTTACTAGGAAACGGGTGCTAGGTAAGAATGGCAGATCAATAAATGAAGTAGCGAAGCTTCATTAGTTGAGGTCGTTGGGACATGTGCTGCGTATGGCTAACGACCGATTGCCTCGACGAGCTTTGTTTTGTGGTGTAGGAGTAGGTTGGAAGAAAATTAGGGGCAGCCAGACCGAAACATGGCAGAAATCCATGAAATCATTGACGAGTGGACTTAGCCATGTCGGTAATTGTCGACTACCTGGTTGGCGTCCGCGAGATGATAATAATCGATGGTTAGAGACCTTGAATGATATGGCTCAAAATCGTTCGCAATGGCGCCGGTGCATGTATTCTTTGTGTTCTCCTTAATCCCAATCTTCTGGATTCTTCAACACCTCTAGTTTTGACCTTCTAAACTTTTCTCACTGAATAATACTCCTTGAACAATATCTCCTAATCCTAATCTCTCCGATTACTTCTAATACTCTTACTACCTATACTACTATTGGATTCGAATTGACAATTACATCGCTGTGCTAATGTGGTGTGGCAACATGAACTGATCTATTTATGTACGAAGTTCTACGTTGCATCTGATTGACTGACTGATACACCCAAGTTACCACACCTTTCCACTGAAATGCGAAATGTAGCTTCGGGATGGGCTTGTAGAGGCACCTAAACTAGTGGTAGGGAGTGAAGTAGTCGTGTGTTGACCGCTTTACATATGGTAGGGGTCACATAAAAGCTGACGGCCTGGCGTATGACAAAGTCTCAGCACCTGCGCCACTTATGGTGCAGGCGAGATATCCGTTTGCTAACCAAAGGACGAGTGTACTACGCAGCAGTTTGCTCTGTCCTACTATATGGTTGCGAAACATGGCCGGTAAGAGTTAAGTATATTCGTAGGTTATTATTTGACTATATATGTCTTAGAAGCATTCCTCGTGTATCCCGGGACAACCGAGTAAACAATGCTGTCGTTAGGAAACGAATACTAGGTAGAGATGACAAATCAATGGACGAAATATTGAAACTTCATCAGCTGAGGTAGCTGGGACGTGTTACGTATGCGAACCGCAAGCTGCCTTGACAAGCGATGTTTAGTGATGTAGTGGTAGGTTGGAGAAATGCTAGGAGCGGCCAAACTAGAGTATTGCAGAAGTCCATAAAGTCATTAAACGAGTTCTAGGTAGGGATGGCAAATCAATAGATGAAGTAGTGAACCTTCATTAGTTGAGGTGGTTGGAACATGTGTTACGTACGCCTAACTATTGACTGCTGCGACGAGCTATTTTTGTGGTGTAGGAGTAGATTGGAAGAAAGCTAGGGGCGGCCAAACCAAAACATGGCAGAAATCCATGAAGTCACTGACAAGTGGACTGTCATGTTGGTAGATGTAGGCTACCTGGTTGGGGTCCGCGAGACGACAGTCACCGATGGTTAGAGACCTTGAACGACATGGCTCAGAATCGTTTGCAATGGCGCAGGTGCATCCACTCTTTGTGTTCTATGAAATTTTAAGCTTCTGCATTCCTCATAATCTCTACCTTTCTCCTTTTAAATTTATCTTACTGAATTGTACTTCTCGAATCTTATCTTCGCTCCCTAATCTTCTCCATTACTGCTAATACTTCTATTATTGCTATCACTGTTGGATTTGAACTGACAGCTGCGACTGTGCTGATGGGGCATGGCAACCTGAACTGATGTACTTACGTAAGTTGCATCTGTCTGTCTGTCTGTCTATAAAGTCATTGACAACTGAGCTATTTTGGTAGGTGTAGACTACCAAATTGGGGTCCGCGAGTCGATAGTAACCGATAGTAAGAGATTTTGAAAGACAAGGCTCAAAATGGTGTAGATGCACTCATTCCTTATCTTCTCTAAAGTTCTAACCTTCAGAATTCCTCATCATCTTCCTCTTTTAAAATTCATTGCACTGGACTATACTCCCTGAATAATTTCTACGAACACTAACTGGCCAAAAAGTAATACGCCTATGATGAAAATACAAACCAGATGACTTAACACTACAGACGCGGCCATATAAGACTTCTGCGGACGGCTTTTCTCGCCGCCAACAAACTAAGGCTTATATATTTTCGATAAGTGAAGTGGCTAATGCTTTTTAATGCTTCACTGTATGGTTGCTTAGGAAGCAACTGCAAACATAAAAGATATAACCCAGATATACAAGTATTAGCTAAAATGAACGGACTGCATGTTACCACCTCCACCAAATACGAATAAGTTTCCTCCCTCCTTTAGGCAGATAAGCGAGTCCCTAAGAACCGTTACTTTCCACCATCTACGGATTTTTTGGTATGCACAATGTGGGGGTATAAAAGTCCCATTTTCATCAGTTCAGAAGTGATGTGAGGTAGACCTGCACAAGTGTCCGTTCTTAAAAATTCAAGTGGTTTTTTTCCGTTATGTTGACTCAGCAGTTACAAATCAGACTTATGAACTTGTCGGGAAAACTACATTTAAACCAGGAAACCAGCACCGAAATTAAAAATTTGGAAAAGGGGTTACAAAAAACTGTATGCACCTTAGTACCATAAACCTAAATGATTAACAATTAGATTCAATATTAATATAGCTATGGTTAAATGCCAACTTATGGTTTTACTTCTCAGGACCAATCATTAGCACTAAATAGTCCTCAAATCGACTAACACCTGGCGTAAAAGTTAAGAACTCACCTGAAGAAAAGAGTTTATTTGGAATAAATATGCTCCAACACATGATATTATCAGACCGACTGAGAGTGTACTGTAAACGTTCTTAAGGTGGACTTGAACATTTTTATCACTAAAATGACGTAAAAGCGAATCAATACGAAAACTTACAGATCTCTAAAATCAAAAATAGACCCCAGATTCATCCTCTGGGAATGCGAATAGCGCGACATTATCAACAGAATATACGTGTACCAAATATGAACTGAGCTTCTTAAAACAAAGACATACAAATTTCAATAGCTTCCTTGTCCAAAATTCATCTTTCACTTATGCTGAAGGAGGTTAACTGGTCCTAAAGGTCCAGATAGTTATGGTTGTGCTTGCACTTAAAAGAGTTACATGTTCAGCAGAAATGGATAGTTGATCCAATATCCAATAAGTTTTTACTTAGGCTAATGCAAACCAGTTGATTTCTTTGCCCTCGATTCTTGGTTTTTCTGTACGGTTCCAGGTATTTGGTAGTCTCCAATGAATGGGGGTCTAGCCACTTGACCGTCTTATTCTAGTCAGTTGGCAGTTGGCTGTGAGTTTGTATGTCCCATGATTTGAATGAAAACGTTTGTTTCAGGGCAGTAGGGTTTCTGGATACCAGCAGTTATCATATTACCAGACCGGAGTTCAGTTAGTTGCAATGTGGGGAATAATAAAGAGGAAATTATAATACTAATATGAATAAGATTTCAGAACTAAGTAGATCAGTAGATAGTTTAGTCTATTAATTGGTAGTAAAGATTGTGAGAGAGGACCGAAGTGTAAACAAGGGAGAGGAAACAGAGATAATAAGGAAGATAGATTAAGTTAGTGATTTGAGGAGATGGCAATAGTAACAACTAGCAAGTCTCAAGGTACGCATCTGACACAGCTTATCTACGAGGGAGATGACATTTCGAATGTGAATACATGTTTATCAAGTTTCTTATTAAAGCTGTCCACTGAGGTGGCTGTGGTCACCTCAGCTGGGAGAACATTCCAAGTTGCAACGACTATACTGAGAAATGTGTTCACGAACCTGAGTATCTGCTCTCTGATAAGCGAATTTTCGGGGATTGCCTTGAGTAGAGTGATGCTCATGCATCGATAAGGTGCTGACGTTGGGATGATTCGGTATATATATTGCGCGTCACAAGCAGGTCACCTCTGATTCTCTAGTAACTCAGAGGGAATAATCCCTAGTGCTGGAGTCTATCTTCATAAGTTTGTTTCTTCAACCTTAGCTTCCATTCAGTTGCTCATCTCTTCACTCGATCCGAGAGATTCATATCGCTTTCAAGCAGATGGGGCTCGAAGATGCTGTGAACCTCCAGATGTGAGTGCGCATGACTCCAAGTAGGTACCTAGGTAGTTCGATGAGTTAAGGAGAAATAATAGTAAATCCTTACGGAAATTTCATGTTTCCACTTGAATAAATCTGGGGAATTCTCTTTCACAACCTTATTTGGTAATAAATTTCAGAAACCCACTACTAAAAGAGATTAGGTGTTCTGGCAATCTCTTTTGCTATGTTGAGCCTCTAGCTTCTGGATGTCCTCTACGATTGGCGTTGAGATTCAATTTAAGTTAGTATTTATTGGAATGCTCCATGGTTTTTAGAATGTTGTGAGCCATTGGAACGTCATCTTTAAGATGCCTTTGCTCCAGCGGATGAAGATCCAGTAACCTTAAGTAAATCTATTGTCGTTCATTCTATTTTGAAGTCAAATCAGATCCTTGCGAAGAGCCAGCTTCTTGCCTTTGGTGCAATCTTCCATCCAAGTCTTCAGTGAAAAGCAATAACTCAGATTATACTTGTTTAGGAAGCTCAATTTTATCAATCAGAAAGATAAGTGTTCCAAGTAATAAACCGTGTGGGACTCTACTTAGACATTCTGAGAACTGAAAAAATTTCAAGTTGACCGTAGAGTTAGAAAGCCGGATTTTTATGTGTAAAGTTAAGCAGTCCATAAAAGGTTGCTTGGTACGCCATTTTTGCAGAAGACAAAATTTTCCTCATCAATCAGAATCTAGCATTCTCAAACTTCTTGGCCAGCCACACAACTTTTGTGTCAATATTACAAAATATTATTGAGCTTTAAGAACTGTTTTATGAACTTCCACTACTTAATACCATTGGTCGTATTGTTGGAATTCGCATTTCCTGGTAAACTTTGCACAGTTATATTTCTTGCACGATAGAATGCTTCGCGAGGCTACTTTGGGATGCTCTGAACAGATTGTGCTACGAATATGACTTTTTCGACAGTCGCTTCATGTCATCTTCAGATTTTAGCTAGAGGCTGGACAACCGGACATCCTTTATAATAATAATAATTTATTCTCAGATAACGAACATGTTACAAGAGGCATGCCAATTTACAGGCAAGATCAAAATGTTAAGATTGGCAACATATTTCTTTTAAAACGGTGTACAGTAACTGAAATATTTCACAAGATACATTGGCTCCATTTAGATGGCTAAAATGTTTCACATAAAATTAAAGATAATTTTGCAGACTCTACAATGTACAACGCGAATAAATGGCGCGAGTTACGACGAGCTTCTTAATAACTCTGAAACAATGCAAGGTAGAGCCAGGTCTGCATATAACAAGAGTTGATGAAGTAAATGATAAATTAATAGGCCCTTGGGTAAGGTAAGCAAGTCTTCGGCAAATATCCAGACTAATGCATAAGTATTGCCACTGGATTTAGATCCAGGTCCTTGCGCTTTTGGCCGGTAGGTTGAACAATCTTAGGATTGTTTATCATGGATTGTAAAACCGGTCGATTGACTGACATCCCTCCACGACTTTCGCCTTTGTTTTTCCTTGGTAGTAATCCTAAGGGTGTAGAATCCTTTTTGAATGTTTTGTGTTTTGGAAAATCCCTCCATGTTTACATATTTTTGTTATGACATGACGGACTTTTTCTGTTGACATTTTTGGTATTTTATTTGATTCCAATTTGAGATTTTATCATTGTATATTGTTATTCTTTCTATATTTTGTACTTATATTGAAGTTTTTATGTTTGCTTCTGAACTGTACATATGTTGTTTAAATTTGATATAATATGGCTACCGCCACATTTTTGGATTGATATCGTGCAGTATAGGAGTTCACCTAGACCTCGGAACCTTGATACTCATTCAGAGTAATTTTGAATTGGAAGGCGTAAATTTCGTTAGGTATTGTTTGTATTTCCATTTATTATTATTAATAGACCATTTTCCCCTAGAATTATTGTGTTTTATATTATAAATCGGGAAGTGCGTCCGACATACGTCTATTGGAATCGAATTGAACTGTCACGATAGAAAATCCAATTACAGTCTAACGAAATTTGGAAACCAGTCCATTTACTGTCTGGAATTATTCCTAAGAACATTTATATTCTGGAATTATCTATTACTTTTGATTAGAAGACCAATTACAGTTGGATTATTAAGAATTATAAAGAAACATTTGGAAATTTAATCGTTTATCACACTAAACTTTCTTGAAAGAAGAATTTTGGATTATTTATCGTATTTTCGTATTCGAATTGTATCTTGGATGAAGAATTTTTGATTTTGGACATATCTTATCGAACTTATCTGTGGAATTTCTATATTTTGTATTTGTTATTTATCTTCCATTGAACTTCACTTATAATGTCAAGTCGCAAGAAATCAAACACGAGGAGGGTGGAAGAGCTCGACGGATCCCGGAACGCTAAGCAAGTCGTTAATGATGAATTTTTTATGGGTAACCCATATGTTAACACTGATGTTATGTCTGATACTTATTATTGTAAGTCACCTTTGGCAGGCATTAAGGAACCAGGATTAAGTGAGAGTTCTAAGGTACCAGAGACGGATCAGATACTTAAGACACCGATAGTAGGTTTAGAACTACCTAAGGTTGAACTTTCATTTTTTGATGGAAAGTCTCGCGACTACTTTAGGTTTATGCGCCAAATAGAAACGTTTATAGAACCCAGAGTAAAAGATGACCAAGTGCGTTTATTGTATTTAATTCATTATTGTAAAGGAAGGGCAAAAAATGCGATTGAAGGTTGTATTATTATGGATCCACAAGCAGGATATAAGAGAGCTAAGGCCATCTTAAAACAGCTCTTTGGACAGTCGCATGTAATAGCCCGGGAAACCTTAGAGGACTTATTTAGAACCGGGAACGCAGATTTTAATGAGCCTGAGGAACTGACGAATTTGGCTATTAAAATGCAGAATGCTGCTTTAACTTTAGAACAGCTAAATTGTGCAACGGAACTTAATTCCATGGTTACTTTAGAACGAGTAGTCAGGCTCTTACCTCGTCGAATGCAAGCCCAGTGGGCAGAGCTGGGAATCAAGTGGGACGAAGAGGAGAGAGAGCCTAATTTCAATGATTTGACGGAATTTATTATGTCTCGCGCTAAGATAGCTAGTAGTAGGTTCGGAAGATTAGCTTATCGGGCTAAAACAGGACATAATACGGAAGCTACTAGTGGTCTGCGTGCGAGACATGAGGATTCTTCGTTTCTATCTAACGCACGCCCGGAAGATAAGAGAGTTGTCAATTATATCACGAAAGCATACGCTGATGAAGGACGAGTATGTGACCGTAACGATGTAAAACCTCTTGATGCGTATCCTAGTAAGAAGCCGGTTGGTGTAACAGATAAGATGGCTTTTCTAAGTATAGAAAAGAAAGAAAAAGGTGAAAAGTGTAGGCATCAAGATGGATCCGAAGTGTGTGATGATAAAAGCCTCTTAGCTGCTCGAAAAGCCTGGAACGGTTATTTGGATTCGAGTAATCAGAGGTTAATGAGTTCAGTAAATATGAATAAGGCCCAGGCAGGATTGTCTGAACGGAATAAAGCCTATTTTCGGAACCCTTCATTTAGGGTAAATTATATAACTGGACCTAGAGTAGATTCTAGGATAAGTGATGGTGGTACTGTAAAGGCTAAGAAGCCTAGGAGACAACATGATGCTACTATTATTAAGAAGCCTAAACCTCATTCTCTTTCGGATGCTATGACTAGCAATGGAAATAGTAGCCATCAGAACCTTAGTAGTGACAGCGATAATAAGGAGACAGAAAGTGTCAGCAGTCCACTTATAGTGACTAGTCTATCAACTTCATCGAATGAGCCTCCTAGTGTTTCGACGTCATTGGACCTCGTCACGAATGTTAAGTTGATTGAAGATGCACAAGGTTGTGCAACTGTAACTGTTCCTATTCCGGTTGACTGTCAGTCGAGTGATGATGAGAAGAAAGTGTTTGATGGTAA